TAAGGGTACATGAATTATCATGAAATCATACATTATTAATTAATACACATTATTTCATGAACTCTCAGGAATGTACAAGATGATCAGTATCTCATGACTTGACTCTAGACTTAAAGCTGCAGTAGGTAATGTTTTAGTATATAACTTTTTGTCATATTTGCTGAAACTTTCACTAAATCCTGACAGTAGAACATGAGACAGATAATCTGTGGAAAAACGTCCTCCTAATGCATTGCATTTGTAAGAATCCACTGCTTCTGTACAAACACAACCCATCAGAGCAGAAAAACGACAGTTGATCTCTGTCTGTGCTTTTGGATTATCAAATTTTTTTGTCTCATGTTCTACTGTCAGGCTTTAGTAAAAGTTTCAGCAAATATGTCAAAAATTTATGAAAATTACACACAAGAACATATGTTAATTAACAACTATGTTATTTCAATAATTGTGATTTCTTAGTTATTAATGATGCTTGCAGTTAAAGGGACAGGCCAAAAAACGGCGTGTATAAGTGTATTTATTTACATAAATATAATAAGAGACTTAAACAGAATGCCTCAAAGAAGGATATTTAGTTTATAAAATTAATGATTAATCATGATTACAACACTTTCAACAGAATACAGATACACTGCTATGACCGGTCTTTTTTTTTTTGGACTGTCCCTTTAACTGCAGACCCATGAAGAAGACATGAACATCATTAATAACTCGCAAATCACAGTGATTTAGATACCTCAGTTCTTGCCTTATCTCACATGAGATACTGTTAATTCCATACATTCCTGATAATTCATTAGGTACTACATGAATGAATTCATTCTATTTCATGCATGAAGTCATGATATTTAATCTACCCTCACCATAAAGTGTTACAGATTATTATAGATAAACTAAAACAGATAAAATAACCTTTATTTTATCTCATGAAGTGAATATTTTTCAGACGTGTGACTGTCCAGTCGTTCAGTGAGAGGGCATGCAAACACACAATGAAGACACT